GGAGGCCCCGCCCCGCCCCGAGGCCTCGCTCCCAGGGCCGGCCTGGCTGGGCCCTTTTCGAGAATTCGCTTTTTAAACAAAATTCGTAGGTGAATAAGTGGACAGAACCCACAGCACTAGATGATCCGCGAGTGCCCTTCCCCTGGGGGATACAGGCCTAGTGTCAGAGCTTTAAGGCGGCGGAGTCCGAGATGCTGCCCCTCCCCGAGTCCCTGGGAAGTCGAGGCTGGCAGGCTGTGATCGAGCTCCTCGTTGAGGGCGGTGCACCGCGCGGTGGGCAAGTAAGTGCAAGGCTTAAAAATCAACCTTGAAAATAGTCCCAAGAAAAAAATAATGAAAAGTAGCCAGGCGTGGTACTGGCAGTGCTGTAATCCCAGCACTCTGGGAGGCTGAAACTCGACAGTCACAGGTTCCAGCCCAGCCTGGCGACTTGGGGAGACCCTGTTTCCAAATTAGAAAGGGCAGCTCAGTGCGAGGCCTCGGGCTCAGTCCCAGTGCTGCAGAAATACACCCGTGCGTACATGCGTGCAAATTTTCCAAATTAAAGATGTGCACAGATTTAACTTTCAGGGTCCTATTCTACATATACTGCTTCGTGGGGTCGCGGTACTGCAGATCAATAGATCCATTTAGCCATTTAAACACGCGACGTTGCAGGGCTGGGCCGTGGCTCCGTGGGGACCACTTACCTGGCATCGGTGAGGCCCTGGGCTCCACCGTGTGGACCAGACGGTCAGACCTCCCGGCTTAGAGCCGTCCACACTCTTGAAGACCGAAGAGGCTGTAGGGGTGCTCCTCTATCAATACTTTTGAAATGAAGCTGAGACACAAAAATCAGCCATTATTTCATTTAAATAAAAACAACACTAAACCTGTGATATGGTAACCTAAATAACGCTGTATGAAAAATAAGTGTGTAAGCCGGGTGTGGTGGTGCACACCTGTAATCCCAGTACTCGGGAGGCTGAAGCAGGAGGATCGCTGTGAGTTCGAGACCAGCCTGGGCTACATAGTGAGTTCCAGGTCAGTCTCAACTACATAGTGGGACCCTGTCTCAAAAAACAAAACAAACCAAAAAAAATGAAGATAAACAAACAAAGAAAAATAAGAGTGTATTCCAAAGCAAAGCTGTGTTCAGAGTAGCATGGTTTCACACTGTGCTCTTCCAGTTAATGCCAAGCCGTGGAAGGTAGGTCTGTTTGCTACCTGTATATCCTATTCACACTGCACAGGAGCAGCATGGCCTCTGGGAAACCTTAGAGTATGCCTGTGAGAGAATCTCAGTGGTAAAGGCACATGCTTAGTTTTTAAATAAAAATAACTTTATGCTCATGACCCCCTCCACAAAATGATCTTGAAACCCTGAGGGGTTCAGAGACCACACTTTCCAACTCCCGCTGCAGGTGGATATTGTGGACATGGAAAGATATGCATGATCTGTGAAGATTTCAGAGAAGTGAATATGTTTTTAGAATGATTCATTTGTTGAGTTGTGCATCTGGTTATTTAAAAAGGTCTGGAAAGATAGTTCTGGTGTAGGATTGTCTCGGTGAGATGGGGTGTTGTTTGTTGTTGATGGTGTTTTTCCCTCTTGCTTCCTTGCATTTTTTGATGTGTGTGTGAGTGTGTGTGTGTGTGTGTGTGTGTGTGTTACTGTGGTACTAAGGAAAAAAAATACAGTTATTTGAAAATTACATTAAGGATCCTTTGATGGGCCCTGGGACTCAGATAATGGACGGTTAAGCCCTCAGATGGTGTCCAGGGCTCCAGATCTGTGGTTGGCCAGGGGGTACCTGGGAGCTGCAGGGTCACTGTGAGGCTATTTTCTCTTGCCAGGAGCTCTGATCTTGGTAAAGGAAAGGGTCTCACAGTGCCACAGGCTTTTTAATGGGGTTGAAGAAAAGTCAAAGAATCGATTCACCACCCTTCAGCCAGACAGAGATGCTTTGGGGGACTGAGCCTCAGGCAGCTGCTGCGCAGGGCTGCATTAGTTTCCTAAAGCCGTGTTAGTAACAGACAACCTCTCGGTTCATTTGTTGCAGTTGTGGAGTCAGAGGTCCTAAGCTCAGGGCCTCACTGCTTTTGGGGCTGTACTGGCCAGCCTGTCACCTGACCTTGTAGGTGTCTAAGGTCCTCCTCCCTCGCTCATGTGGCCCAGCTCTGCAGGTGAGAGCACCTTCACATCAGTACCTCCCGCCTCCTCTCTCCTGTCTCCCACAGCCACGCCTACCTCGCTGCCTCCTTCTCTGTGACATCTTTGATCCACCTTGATTTTAGTTTAGTGGATGGTGTGATACCGGTCTAGATTCAGTCTTCTGCACGTGGAAAGCCAATTTTTCCACCACCATTTATTAAAGAGTCTGTCTTCCTCCAGGGCAAGTCTTTATTGTCTTTCTTTAACCCTGGCCACCCTCTTTCCTGGCAGATCAGAGGACTGATTGGCCCTGGTACTTCCGGGGACTTCCATTTCTAGAGAAGCTCTCCTAGGTTCTGTAGTCAGCCCTATGCTAATTCAGTGGCCTTCGAGGATTCTATTCGACCCCCTACATATTAGGAATCTTTCCTTCCTGGCTGATGATGACACAAACTAGAAGGTGGGAGTTTGTGAGCACTACTTTCAGTAGAAGAATGGGCTAATCTCAAGGCAGCTCTGCGGAGGTAGGGTGAAAGGTAGCTCCTCTCGGACAGAGTTATCAGGGAGAGGCATGGGTTCTCATGCCAGTCCTGTGTGAAGGGCACGGTTCCGCTGCAACTGCAGCCTGTCTCCCGGAAGTTGTTAACTCAGGGGAACAGTTGTGGTGTCTTGTAACACTGTGCAAAATGCACACGCAGATCGATTGCTTTAGTGATTCTATCTTTAAAACTGCATCCTTTCTAATGCAAGAGCACCAAACTGATTCCTTGGCAATGGTTCCACCGTGGTGTCTTGTAACACTGTGCAAAATGCACACGCAGATCGATTGCTTTAGTAATTCACTTTACTCATAATGAGGGTCCTCAAGTCGTAGAGTTGAGCTTACCCGAACCTACGGCGAATAAAGGCTGTAAAGTAAAAGACTGCATAAACAGGGTAGGAAATCTACACCACACTGAAGTACCCACAAGAACAAGAAGAATCCTATCTTTATTTTTTGGTTCTGGGGATCCAACTCGGGACCTTGTGCTTGCGAAGCACGCGGCGGAACCACTGAGCTAAGAATCCTATCTTTAAAACTGCATCCTTTCTAATGCAAGAGCACCAAACTGATTCCTTGGCAATGGTTCCTCCTTGTGTACAGGGTTCTGAATGAGATCCTGTCGCTGGTTTTTCATGGCAGAGAAGTTGGGAAAATCTGAGGCTGTGGATCCTTTCTCTCGGTGACAACAGTTCCGTGAGTAACCCAGAACGTCAGGTTCCCAGAGAGAAGCAGCTAATGGCTGTGGCGTTCTGAATGAAATTAAGGTTCATAAGCTCCAGTGTGCAGCTGGAGTTCTGAAGGAGAGCTGTCCCCATCTGCTTCCTGTGCCTGGGAATTACTGAGTTCCAACCGTTACACGAGGCTGGACTGGAACTACTTGGTCCTCCTCCTGCTGCCAGGGAGGCTGGAAAGCACACTTCTTGGTGTCAGAGGCTGCACAGTACAGGATTCACATTTCTCTGGGAACAAAGGGAATGGAACTATTACTGGGAGGAAGATGTGGTTTTAGCGTCAAGAAATTGATTCCCAGTTTTAAAAAAGAAGAGAAATTTCAGTTCCAAGATAGTCACAGAACATCTTTTAATGAGAAATATTTTATAAAGTAAATGTCTCTGGGCTGGGGATTTAGCTCAGCGGTTTGGTGGCCTGCCTTGCAAGCGCAAGGACCCGAGTTCAATCCCTGGTACCACACACACAAAAAAATAAATAAAATAAATAAATAAAGTAAATGTCAAAGATAGCCTGGCTAAATAATAGTATATGCACATGATGAATATTTTATGTGGGCTGTTAAACTGCAGCATGGCTCCATGATGAGTGGGTAAATTAAACTTGAAACAGTTCTTCAGATGGTGAATTGCAGAAGCTGAGCCTGGCTCCCATGGCAAGATGTTCTCTCCCATCCTGAAGGTCCCGGGGCTGCCCACACACTTCAAAGAGTAGCACACTACCCTGGGGCAGCCTTTGGGGTTCACAGCTGAGGCAAAGTCCCCCCCATGGACAGACTTAGAGAAAGGGACCCAGGGATCCTGAATGTGGGCTCACAGTCCTGGAAACCTGGAGCTGCCAAGCAAGGGGCGGCACTGAGGTGGCCATGGCCTGTGGCCTGGGGCACAGCATGGGCCTGTGTCACCCTGTGACCCAGTCTGCTCAGTGGGCTGTTACTGAGGGGTTACCCCGGGTATCTGCAGTGTGATGCGCCAACATCTGGATGATGAAGCAGTCCTTCTGGAATAATCAGTGCATGGTATTACAGAATTGCATCCTGGACAGGACAGTATGGAATAGACAGGAAGCTCACTGCTGGGTCTCAGGTACCATAAAACAAGAACCTTCTGGAACCACTTGTCATGTGTCATAAATCAAAGAATACTCAAAATTCCCAAAACTACTAAGATTTCTCTTTCCCAATACTTGCGTGAGTGCAGATTTTCTTCCAAAACAAAGGGACCCCAGGGCACTTAATGCAGACTCAAATACAAAACTCTAGCTGGCTTCCAGTAGGATATCATTACGGAGATTCACAAAAATGAAAGATAATGTACTTTTTACAATGTGCACTTTTGAAAGTTTTTT